AGAATTCTGAGATTAAAGTATCAATTCTGAGATTAAAGTATCAATTCTGAGAAAAAAAAAATCAAAATTCTGAGAAAAAAAGTCAAAATTCTGAGATTAAAGTCAGAATTCTGAGAAAAAAATCTGACTTTTTTCCCATGTTAAAATAAAATTTAAAAATCACTTAACTTTTTTTTTTTTTCAGTGGCCCTAATCCTCTTCCGTAGAAATCAGTAAATAAACTAAGACTTCATTTGAAATGAACTTTAATTCAGATGAGTGACATAGCCATGCCTGTTTTACAGACTAGCTCTCTTGTTTTAATGACCTTCTGCTCCTCCATTAATGAGGGGACCCCTCAGGCACATAAAAAGTTGCCTACTTCCTTAAATTTCCACCCAATGTGTCACTGGCCACCTCAAACAACTCACATCTTTGTCAGTGAAGCTGAGTACTCCCACATCTCTTCCTTCATGGTGCCCATCTACATTAAGATCCACAATTCTGAGAAAAAAGTCAAAATTCTGAAATTAAAGTCAAAATTCTGAGATTAAAGTATCAATTCTGAGAAAAAAAAGTCAAAATTCTGAGATTAAAGTCAGAATTCTGAGATTAAAGTCAGAATTCTGAGATTAAAGTCAGAATTCTGAGATTAAAGTATCAATTCTGAGGGGGAAAAAAGTCAAAATTCTGAGATTAAAGTCAGAATTCTGAGATTAAAGTCAGAATTCTGAGATTAAAGTATCAATTCTGAGGGGGAAAAAAGTCAAAATTCTGAGATTAAAGTCAGAATTCTGAGATTAAAGTCAAAATTCTGAGATTAAAGTCAAAATTCTGAGAAAAAAGTCAGAATTCTGAGATTAAAGTCAGAACTCTGAGACTAAAGTATCAATTCTAAGGAAAAAAAGTCAAAATTCTGAAATTAAAGTAAAAATTCTGAGATTAAAGTATCAATTCTGAGAAAAAAAAGTCAAAATTCTGAGATTAAAGTCAAAATTCTGAGATTAAAGTCAGAATTCTGAGATTAAAGTATCAATTCTGAGAAAAAAAAGTCAGAATTCTGAGATTAAAGTCAGAATTCTGAGATTAAAGTATCAATTCTGAGATTAAAAAATTAATTCTGAGGGAAAAAAGTCAAAATTCTGAGATTAAAGTCAAAATTCTGAGATTAAAGTCAAAATTCTGAGATTAAAGTATCAATTCTGAGATTAAAGTATCAATTCTGAGGAAAAAAATTCAAAATTCTGAGGGAAAAAAGTCAAAATTCTGAGAAAAAAAGTCAGAATTCTGAGATTAAAGTCAGAATTCTGAGAAAAAAGTCAGAATTCTGAGACTAAAGTATCAATTCTGAGGAAAAAAAGTCAGAATTCTGAGATTAAAGTATCAATTCTGAGATTAAAGTATCAATTCTGAGAAAAAAAAAATCAAAATTCTGAGAAAAAAAGTCAAAATTCTGAGATTAAAGTCAGAATTCTGAGAAAAAAATCTGACTTTTTTCCCATGTTAAAATAAAATTTAAAAATCACTTAACTTTTTTTTTTTTCAGTGGCCCTAATCCTCTTCCGTAGAAATCAGTAAATAAACTAAGACTTCATTTGAAATGAACTTTAATTCAGATGAGTTGAGTGATAACTGAGAGGAACAGGATGACAGCCAGAAAATTAAAATGACGCAACGGCGAAAATGTTCCTATTTCTTTTAGGCTGCTCCAAAATTCTAGATAATTTTAATGATAAGCCGCAAAATATTTTTATTTTTTTTTAGCAGATGCATCCTGTTGACAGATGCGTTTTTAAACACAGTTTAGTGAGTCAGTCGATTTGAAAAAACTGTATCGGTTACATGACTTTCTTTAAACAACACGCACTGATGGTGTTTTGCTCTATGGGCTCCATGCATGCACCGACGCATCGGTGTTGCTGGACCTATCAATAGAAACCGTAAAACCAAAGGCAGCCCCATGTTCTTGTTTTCATCATACTGCCCCCACCGTGCTTAACTGTTGCTGAGAATCCTCCAAAGGTTTCATCATTCTGGGTCCTTTTGGATGAGAAGCTGATGACCTGCATTTCCTCAGTAGATTCTACGCTGTTCCATGATCGTTCCTCACGTCTTTCCCTGGAAGGTTAGTTGGACACATTTCCTCATTTAGGCCAGCTTTCTCTTTCCCGATCTGGAGGTTTATTTACCTTTAATTAAATTATTGAAAAACAGCTTAACGTTTTCTGTGTCTGAAATGAACCCTTCATTTATTTTGAAGATATTTTTAATTTAAAAAAAAGGAAATAAAGCATTCTTTTTGACCCAGGACAGGCCACCAGTGCAGATCAAGATGTTTTTTGAAGATGGGTTCAGTGAGATTTACCTGTGGCAAACGCATTCACTGATGTCAGCATTTCAGATCCGCATTCAAGAGATGAAGAGGAGGAGGACTCTGTTGTGGAGGTCATCTGGATTCTGAACAAGGTCCAGAGTTTGCTTCATGAGCGCAAGATAAACAACTAAAATCGTGGACGATTTTGAAATTCCCCCCGGACATTTTCTTAGGTCTGAAAAGTAGGACCTGTCAGGTAAAAAGAGGACGTCTGGTCACCCTAGGATGGAAGGAATGATGAAGGCAGCTCAGCTCGGTGTGGGGTCAGCTGTCCATGTTGGTCCACTCACTGCTAAACATTGAGTTTATTTCATCACAATTTAATTATTTTATCTCCATTTTGCGATTCTGTATTTGCAGGAAAGCAAAAAGAGATGAATGTGCATTCAGTTAACGTCTGTTTAAAACGACTTTGATCCATATTCATTTATACTGATGTTTTCTTTGTGTTGAAAGGAATGACTGTACGTGCTTTAAGATGAGATAAAACTCTATTGTTCACCAAGGTGAACATTTTCCTTCAGCACAGAATAAAATACATCCATTCACTCCTAATGTCAGCAGCAGTTTGAACATCCAGAGAAAAACACGGTTCTCCTGGATCTCATTGCTTCATTTGGCTAAGATGGTTAATGAACCAAAGAAGGACTTTAGATGCTTTTAGTTTGCAGAGGGACTTTATATCATCTTCCTGAGCTCAGAGGGTCACAGCTGTCTGCTAAGTCCCTTACTGCCTTCCTTGTTCTCTTAGCTTTTCTTTTGTGTGGTTTTCCCTCCATGTTTCCTTAGTCTGGCTAAGGTGACCAAACCTAAAAGAGGAAAGGTTAAAACGTCATTAACAGTTTCTTTGTACGGAGCCTCTAAACTTGCTGACTGACCCTGTGACCTCCTGAAGCAGCGGGGTCTCTGAGCATTTCTTAAACATAAAGTCAACATTTCAACCTGACTGTAAAAAATAATTAGATTTCCTGATTCAACAGGATGGCAATTAAAACTAGTTAACGATGACATTTCCTTACAGCATAACATTCAATTCAGTTTATTTCTATAGCACCAATTCACAACACGTCATCTGAAGGCACTTTCCAGTTCACCAGATCATCCAGTCAAATTGATTCAAAGTTTTCTATCTAAGGAAAACCAGCTGATTGCATCGACTCGTTGACTCTTCAGTAATCCCTCACATTAAGCATGCTTGTAGCGACACTGGAGAGGAAAAACTCCCTTTTAACAGGAAGAAACCTCCAGCAGAACAAGACTTAGTGAGAGCGGCCATCTGCTGAGGCCGACTGGGGTTCAAGGAGACAGAAGCAGAGATACAGAAAGCAGCTGTAAAAGGAAACACACAGCCAGGCAGACGAGCTCTGAGCCAGCTCCCATTTCAGAGGACGAAGAGAGCACATCCAGTTAGTCACAGTCAGAGAAACAGGACTACACTGAAAAGCAGGGAAATCTCCAACATCTATAAACAAAGGTGTTGATGGAAGCAGCACAGCTGATATTTCTCTCCAGGATGGAGTCACAGCCAAACAGGAACAGACCAGATGAAGCTACTATGAGAAAAAGCAGAGAGAGCATAATGTTAGAGATTGATTCTGCAGAGTAGGATAATAGAGATATAATAAAGCAGAATGATGAAAAAGGGGTCCCTATGTCCTCCAGAAGTCTAACCCTATAGCAGCATAACTATAGAGATAGCTCAGCTCTGATATTTCGTCCTCCCGTTTTATTATAAAATTGACTTTTTACAATTTTTTTTAAACAATTTAATTCTAATCTCAATAAAATCATTGTAGCTCATTTAATCTGAATACTTTTAATTACGATTCATTTGAAATACTACTAATAACTAGTGTTTCATTTGAAGGAATATTTTGTTTAAAGTCGATACAAATAAATCTTTAGTAACTCCTGAGTATCAATAAAAAAGACTTCAGATTATTAAAATGTAATTTCTAGCATTCCCGAATCATAACAAATATGTCAGCTTCTCAAAAACAAAAACTTCTGTTGAATCTCCGAGCTTCCATGAATGTCTCACCGGCAGCCATCTTGGTGATTTCATGAATTGTTTTGGTTTCACAGGGACGCCTGTCATGTGACCTCAGTCTTCTGATTGTCAGCCAATCAGCGGCCTTCCTGCCTCAGCTGTAGCCAATCAGATTGTCCGCAGCGCTATTTGAACGCAGCCAGTCTGTCTCTCCATGAACTGAGTTCTCCTGCAGTTTTAGCTACAGACGCTCTCAGATTGTTTTTCCAGAGTTTTTTCCGCCTGATTTCTTCTATTCATGTCCACCATGGAGGTTCGAGCTGCGGTGAGTCTCCAGCCCATCTGTCCCTGTCCTCATCTCTCTGTGTCAACGTTGTCCAACGTTTCTCGGTGTGTTGCAGCCGCTGCAGGCCGCAGAGGAGACTCTGAAGAAGGGAAAAAGCTACGCAGCGGCTCCGAGGAGAGCTGCTCTGGGAGAGATGACCAACTTCCCCGCAGCTGAGGCCAACATGAAGGTAACAGCTGGAGCACCGGGTCTGAGGGCTGGTTCTGGGTTCAAAGCACGCAGACAGAGCAGTGAAGGCCGCTTCTATGGAGGCTCAGAGGGGACAAATGGAACGTTTCTCATGAAACTATTCAATACCGCATTAACCTCTCAAAACCCACCATTTTTTAAAGTTGGGACGCTGATTTTGTTTTATTGCATTGCCTAAGGCTGGAAAAAAACCCCGCCAAACTATAACACAGAAAAGGCACTGGGGCTTAGTTTAGTGTGAAAAGCAGCAGTTTAACTATTTTTATAGACTTTTCTTATTTTAGGTTTATAAATGTTACATTTTGTTATATACACTTATTCTGAAAAATAGTGGGATAATAATTGCTTCATAAATGTTTTGTTTTCCTCAAAATATTTCAGTGTTATTCTATGGGTCAAATAGCTACGGAAGAGGATTAGGGCCAGTGAGGAGAAAAAAAAAGTTAAATGATATTTTTTTTAATTTTATTTCAGTTTAGTATGGGGGGAAAAGTCAAGTTAATTCTGACTTTTTTTTTTTTTCTTCTCAGAATTCTGAGAAAAGTCAGAATTTTTTCCCCCATGTTAAACTGAAATAAAATCTAAAAATCTTTTTTTTTTTCAGTGGCCCTAATCCTCTTCCGTAAATAGTTGAGTAAAAGCATTTGGAGAGATTAGGAGACGCCAAAAGTTCAAAAGTCCCACAGCTCTGGAACTGTTGTAGCTAGAGGTCTGAAATTTTTGAGAATAAAAAAAACAAACAACTTTGAGTCATGTTTGAACTGCTGCAGCTTCGGCTGTGTTTTACTCACCCAATATTTTTTTTTTTTTTTTTTTTTTTCAGAAACTAGAGGGTGTTCGGATTCAAATGATGCACCATACATGTGACTTGTGCTTACAGTTCCTCAGTTATTTGCTTTTCCATTTGGGTATGCAAAACCGGCAAGGGTCACTTCAAATTCAGTGGGTTTTAAGAGGTTAAATATTCCACTTATTTCAGTTTAAAAATACTTTATTGATCCAAAAGAGAAACTGAATTAATACTGCTTCCTGTAGGAAGGATCTCCTCTAGCGTTTTACATGTTTGAATTTGATGCTTTCTATTGTTATATTAACTGATAGTATTCTATAAGTTGCTTTTTTTAATGTAATTTGAATATGGATGGATGACGGTTTGAACAAGTTCACAATTATAATGCTGGATGGACCCATTGAATAAATGGATTGTGAAATTATGTTTATCAAAAATACAATAAATTAATGTTATTTAAAAGGTATATTTATTGCACATGTAATAATTGAAATTGTGTTAAATGTCTAAATGGATTATTCAGTGGTTAATTGATTTAATGTTGACCCTTCTGTGGGGAGTGTTGGCCTAGTGGTTAGAGCAGTGTGGTTGTGCTCTGAGATGGTTGGAAGTATCCGGTTGAGCCTGCACTCTGGCTTCCTGAGCAAAACCCTTAACCCCCCACTGCTCCCCGGGGGCCGCTTAATGGCAGCCCACTGCTCCCCAAGGGGATGGGTTAAATGCAGAGTGAATCAGCTGTGCTGCTGCCATCAACGCTGTTTTCCAGTGTAGTCCTGTTTCTCTGACTGTGACTAACTGGATGTGCTCTCTTCCTCCTCTGACATGGGAGCTGGCTCGGAGCTCGTCTGCCTGGCTGTGTGTTTCCTGGACGGGGGCCGCCTTTTACAGCTGCTTTTTGTATCTCTGCTTCTGACTCCTTGAACCCCAGTCGGCCTCAGCAGATGGCCGCTCACACTGAGGCCCCGTCCACACGAAGTCAAACCCTGGCCTAAAGGCACACATTTTTCACCAAACCAGCCTCTCATCCACACGAAGCCGGCGTTTCGGGGGTCTGTAAACTATCTTTTTTTTTATTAAGCCTTCAGAGTGGGAAGATTTTGAAACGCCGTTTTCGCGTTTCCATCTTTAAGCTCTAACCGCATTTTTACACGCATGCATCATAGCGTCGCCTCTAAACACGCATGCGCGACACAGTATCACAACAACAATGGCGCCGTACTGTGTTGAATGGTTGCTGCTAATGCTACTCACCGTGCTGTCGGGCTTACAACAGAATCTTCTTCTTCTTCTGGAATATCTCCAGGAAGAACAGAGCAATATCGACGACATAGTTCAGCACCTGAATTTGACTGAACCACGAAAATGGACCCGCAGGGCAACCATGTATAAATATTAGTGCGCATGCCCAACATTTCGTCGCCTATTTTTGCTTTGGCACCACAGCGCCACTTACAGGCCTGGCATACATTTTGCAGCGTTTTCATGCATTTGTGTGGACTATCACATTTATTTTACGTCTCCGTCTTTACGACAAACGTTCTGGAAAATATTAGCGTTTCGTGTTTGGTTTGACTTCGTGTGGACGGGGCCTGAGCCTGGTTCTGCTGGAGGTTTCTTCCTGTTAAAAGGGAGTTTTTCCTCTCCACTGTCACTACAAGCATGCTTAGAGGGATTGCATTTGAGTCGATGCAATCAACTGGTTTTCCTTAGATAGAAAACTTTGAATCAATCTGACTGGTTGAACTGTAAAGACCCATGAGATGACATGAGTTAATTGGCACTATAGAAATGAACTGAACTTAATTGAATTTCTCCATTGTGGGACAATAGAGGGATTTGCATTTAACCGTCGCTATGCTTCAGTTTTCGTCACATCTTATCTCTCGGAGGCTTATAGTGGAACATTTCTCTGTAATAAGGGGCCAGGTTTGAGGGTGGGCTGTTTGCTTCTGGCCCCTACAGGATTTGGATCAAATGAAGGTACAACTGAGCGAGATGTTCACTGAAGATCTGATTCTGTAGGACCCTCGGACTAAACTCTTTTCTTCAGACCTCCCTAAGGCGCAGAGGATGAGTGAATGTTTTATTCTGTTGCTCGGATGAAGGAATCCAGATGAAAACGCTGCTGCTGGTTTGGGTTCTTCCAGGGAATCCAGTTCCAGTCTAACGGCTCATGTTTTCACAGAGGAGGGCAGCATCAAAGAAGGCCTCCAAACCCTCCAGCTCCCAGAAACCTAAACCAGTCCAGGACTGTGGGGGTGTGGTCCAGGTTCCGGCTGCTGTCGATCCGCTCACTGCTCTTCCAGAGGAGTCGGCCGACGTGTCCATGAAGGAGGAGCAGGAGCTGTGCAGAGCGTTCTCTGAGACGCTGCTGGCGGTGCAGGATGTGGACGAGCAGGACGCAGACAAGCCTCAGCTCTGCTCTAAATACGTCAAAGATATCTACGCGTACCTGCACCTCCTGGAGGTAACCTCCTTCCTGCTGCTTCCCGGCCGCCGCCGACTCCTCTCTGACCTCGCCGTGTCTCATCAGGTGCAGCAGGCCATACGCCCGGACTACATGAAGGGCTTGGAGATCACGCCGCAGATGAGGGGGATCCTAGTCGACTGGATGGTCCAGGTTCACTCCCGCTTCCAGCTGCTGCAGGAGACCCTGTACCTCACCGTGGCCGTCCTGGACCGCTTCCTGCAGGTGAGCCGGACCAGAACCTTCTCCTCTCTGTGCGTGCGCCGCCGATATAACCCTCTGCCGCTGCGCCGCAGGTCCAGCCGGTGTCCCGGAGGAAGCTGCAGCTGGTCGGGGTCACGGCCATGCTGGTGGCCTGTAAGTACGAAGAGATGTACTCTCCGGAAGTAGGAGACTTCGCCTACATCACAGACGGCGCCTTCAGCAAGCCTCAGATCCTGGAGATGGAGCAGCTGGTCCTGAGGAGGCTGAACTTCCAGCTGGGACGGCCGCTGCCACTGCACTTCCTCCGGCGGGCCTCCAAGGTGGCCAGCGTAAGTTGGCGATGCTGTGGGGAACGCCTGGTCCATCCCTTGGTTCCTTCCGTGTTCTCTGGGTTTCAGGAATGTTCCTCATTCCCATCAGAGCTGACTGGTTGTCTTTGTCTCAGGCTGACATAGAGAAACACACTCTGGCCAAGTACCTGATGGAGCTGACCCTCCTGGACTACGAGCTAGTCCACTACCGGCCTTCTGAGATCGCCGCTGCCTCCTTGTGTCTCTCCCAGCAGCTGCTGGGCGGGCTGCCCTGGGTGAGTCGCCCTTTTGTCCCACCCTCTGTTGCTGCTGTCTGTTTTCTAAAAGCTTCTCTTCCTCAGTCGGCCACGCAGCAGCACTACTCCACCTACGACGAGGCTCACCTGAAGCCCATCATGCAGCACCTGGCCAAGAACGTGGTGATGGTGAACGAGGGGAGGACCAAGTTCCAGGTGAGTCTGTGAGCCGTCCAGCCTGCCTGCCTGTCGCTGCCGTGTGGACGGAGCATAACTGTGTCTCTTCCTGCAGGCCGTAAAGAAGAAATACTGCAGCAGCAAACTGATGAAGATCAGCCTCCTTCCTCAGCTGAGCTCCTCCATCATCCAGAAGATGGCGGCTCCTCTCATCAAAGCCTCCTGAGACCTGTTTTATTTTATTTTTTTAAAGAGACTTTTTCACTTGCACTTTACTGGATGGGTTCTCTGAACTGGACCGACCCGCTGCTCTACTGGTTCTGTTGGTTTTGTTGTGTTTTTAAGCAGTTCAGCAGAAACTGCGGGGAATTGTGAATCTTTGCTGTTTTTTAATAAAGTTTAAATTTCCTAGAAGGTTTCCTGGCTCACTGTCCCACACTTCCTGAATCCAAACCTAACAGAACATGTCGTAACAAAGGTCCAGTATGGTAGCCTCGTGAGACCATCCTGATCTCGCGAGCTTTCAAGGTTTCACTCGCTAATCAGTCTGCAGACTCTCTGCTGAAGAAAATTTGGAGCCGTTCGCCAAACGAACGTCCAATCAGTGTTGGCTTTGAGGCGGGTTGAGGTGTGACGCAACAAGAAGCGCGACAGTTCAGTCTAAAGAACATGGTGGCTTCAGCCGATGAAACTAGCGTTAGCGTGGCTATCGAGCAAGCTTTATCGGAATTACAGAGTATTTCTTCACTGAAAGAAGAGCAAAACACGGCTCTGGAGGCTTTTCTCAGAGGAAAAGATGTTTTTGCTCTTTTCCCGACTGGTTTCGGAAAGAGTTTGGTCTATCAATTGGCTCCTCTTCGTCGTCGCTCTGTTAGTACGTCATATGCTTCGTTGATCTGATTGGTTTATTTGGCCCGTCTATCACCAACATAGGCCAATCAGCTAACCAGTATTTTCGCCCCTTCCCAAAATTACTTCAACCGAAGGTTTCCAGATGGATATGCGGAGCAAATCCATCTGGCGGAGTCAGGTTACCAGTATGGCTCTACCTGCTGATCGATAAAACTAAGGCCTTAATTGGTATTAAAATGTCTGAAATCAGTCTTTCGTAGGGCTTAATTTTTAAAACATCATAAATAGGATTATTTTATTACGATTTTATTTTTGTAATCTAAATAAAACGTTAAAATTTTCTTTTTTTTTTTTTTTTTTTTTTCCCCTGATATAGGAACCAATAAAGCTTTGTTGCAGCCGGGACATTTGGGAGATGCGCCATTAACTTTTTGTCTGGAAAATACGAGCAAGTGTAAATGTAACCAAAATTGTCTCCAGCCAAGAGTTTTCTCCATGGCTAAAACCAGGGAACATACATGAGGCTCAGTGGATTTTGTGCAAGAAGTCATTCAAGCTCAGAACGATGGGAATTAATTATTTCTCAGTTTAGTTCCACCCTTGTCTCTGCAACGCCTCCACTTATCACCAAATCAAACATACTAAGAAAACCATACAAAGAAAAATAGCTGCAAAAAAGACTTAGCACTGGTTATGTTGGGGCTTTAAAACTGATTTGTTTTGTTGTGAATTCAGTTAAATAATTGTTAAACTATATCTGTCGTTTGTGTGTTTTTAGCTTTCTTCCTGTATGGGAAGCTTTTCAAAATTTGAGACATGAGTGCAGTGGTTTATGTTCAAATAAACCTTTGGGTTAAGTTGTCGCAAGCAGGTGTTTCTTGTGAATTTGGTCTTAAATTTTTATTTCAAGTAGCATTAAAAAGTCTTGAATTTAACTTGCCTTATGCTGTAGGAACCCTGTCTGTTCCTGGAGGATGTTTGAGCTGACCTGACCTTCTGAGATCTCTGTGACCCCATCCAGTGTTTGACAAGGTAGTGGAAGAGTGGTGATGTGGGTGATGAGTCTTATCAGCAGTTCAGGTCAGTTTTTGCACAACTTCACTCGCTGCTCTGCGACTACCTGATGCAACAACCCTCTGGTGCTTTTCAAGACGTGCAAGCTTCACATTTTGGTTGAAATGAGGACCAGAGCAGCCATGAATCGGACGCTTCCTGATGGTTCTTCCCAAAGATTTTCCACAGAAATGGTTAAAGCAATCTTAACTGGGATTGGCAGAAACATCTGCTGAGAAGGAAACCTGATGCACCTTAGAAGGTGTTTGAGCAGAGAAATGACAAAAAACCTGGAGGAGCTGGACAGCCATGTTTATGGGGATCAGATAATTCAAGACAAATTATGTAATACTCCTGTTATCCCAAAGGGGGCAGCACCTTTCTCTCCTTTCACATTAAGTTTAATACTTTATGTTCTGGTCTGTTTTTTGAACTAATTTTCTCTTTAGATGCAGAACAAGGAAACTGGTCCAAATCTGCTTTTAATGTTTGCACCAAAAGAACACTGAGCTGTAAAAGTCCCAGGAACCAGATTACTGGGACCCATCAAGCTGGGCCCAAAACCTGCTGAAAGATCCTCTGAATGAAAATAATCCGGATCTGTTTAAGATCTGCAGAACACAGGACTGGATCAGCTGTTCTTGGTGTGTTTTTAAAGAGTCTGAGGTCATGATGTCACCCATCCTGGTGCCGTCAGTGCCACGAGGTCAGAGCGGAGGCTTTGTGCTCTACAGACTGACCCTGACGTCATCCCAGCCAGCGCAGATTCCCCTTCATCGGGTCAGGAAAACTACGGGAATGAAAGAATCTTTGTAGGAAAATAAAAACAGACTTGTCTGGTTTATTTCAGCTGCTGATACGATGCTGCTTAATCTAAGAGGGATGAACAACGATTCAGAGCATGAAATTGTTTTAAATGAAACTAGATGCGTATAATAAAAGCATGGGCAGTTTCAGAGGGGGGCCAACGGGGTCAGTACCTCTAGAACTGGATGTTGTCCCAGTACGGGAAGCACACAGCAGAAATTTCAATATAAGGGTGACAGTGGCATCGGATGTAGGAGGTTGCTAGTTCAAGACCCGGGTCCAACTTTGTTTCATGTCCTTGGGTGAGACACTTCACCCACATTACCTACTGTTGGTGGTCAGAGGGCCCGGGGGGGCCAGCGCACAGCAGTCTGGCTTTTTTTCAGTGAGCCCAGGGCAACGGTGGCTCCATGCAGCTCGCCACCATCAATGTGAGTGAAAGACGGTAGAGTAAAGCGCTTTGGTCGAATCCTCTGACTTTACCAAAGCGCTTTATAAGTACAGGCCGTTTAAGGTCATTTTATTCTTAAATTTTCTTTTGATTTAAGGCTGTAAGATAATTTTCAGACAGAATAAGATGACTTGTGTTTAAAATAAGACTCCATCTTCTTTATTCCTTTAGCAGATCGTCTCACTTTTAGAAAGGTTTTACTTTTTTAGATAATTTTCTTTGGTGTAACACTAAGTCAATTTTTGATGATTTACCTGATTTGTCCCTTTGGTCCGATTTAATATTCTGCCAAGAAAATTTACTTTAAAAATTATTTAGAAATGACAGCATTAAGTTTTGCAACCTTTGCTCCGTAGCTCACTTAATGCACTCTTGCCCTATTTATGATTTATTTATTGTCACACCCTGGCTCCACCGGTTAAGAACCGCCCCTGAATAAAGGTTAAGCTAACGCTTCTAGAATCATGTTAGGGAGGATCGTTGTTCCCTTTTCATCCTGATTTGTTTTTGTTTTAACATTTCTCCATTTATTTCATGTTGATTCATTTTGACAGATGAACATTAAGCAGTCCTTAGATGTGGACGGATTATCTGAAAAGTGTGGCATGCAGATACTAATGTCAGCAGAACCAGCCTGGCTGCAGGTCTGGTGGAGTTTTAAACATTTACAGTTTAACTTTCTTCTTTAGGCTCAATTAGAGGAGACCTCAAACATCCACCATGTCTCCTATTTAGGTCTGGACTTTGACTAGGCCATTCTAAGCCATTATTCTGCTTAGATTGCATCTGTGGAAATAGAATAGAAAATCCCTTTATTGTCTCACAATGGGGAAATCTTGTCTTTTACTATGGAAGAGGATTAGGGCCACTGGAAAAAAAAAAAGTTAACTGATTTTTTTTTTTTTTTATTTCAGTATAGTATGGGGGAAAAAGTCAGAATTCTGACATTAAAGTCAGAATTCTGACTTTTTTCCTCAGAATTCTGACATTAAAGTCAGAATTCTGACTTTTTTCCTCAGAATTCTGACATTAAAGTCAGAATTCTGACATTAAAGTCAGAATTCTGACTTTTTTCCCATTTTAAACTGAAATAAAATATAAAAATTAACTTTTTTTTTCAGTGGCCCTAATCCTCTTCCGTACTTTTTCAGCAACAAAAAGATGATAGAAAAAAATGGTCTGAGACACAGTTAATATTATAAGCGTTCTGATGGCATTTTAGCCAAAGGATTTTAATCAAAAACATAATGTGCACAAATAAAGAATAGTTGCATTAACTATACATCTAAACAGAGTTTTATGAGGCCCCCAGGAACTTGGGGCCCTAGGCAACTGCCTAGTATTACCTAATGGTAACTCCCCTGCCCCCACCCCCCTTCAGGGAAATTCTGATTCCAGTAGCTTATATAGTTAAAAGATGACGCCTTTAAAGATAAAAACACAACAGACGATATAAAAACGGTGTATATAGTACAAAAGACATAACAGTTATAATGTGCTGGGAAATGTTTTCTTTAGGTATAAAAATAAGCAAAACATCCATATTTTCTAAATTAGGACAAACTATACTTTCCTACAGCCTTTGCTAGCAAATAGATGCATATATTTAAACATCTGTGCTTCCTAGATAAAACGTATAGTGGACAAAATCCTTTCAGGTTTGAGTTCCGGGGCGGACATCTTTTCCATTGTCTTTACTTACCTACTTTTATCAACAGTCATTCTGGATAAAATTGATATTCACAAATACTAATATCCACATAAATTGATTATTTAACAAGTTTTTTTAATTAAAATAATTATTTATGATTTCACTGATGATTTGCAGAGACACATTTTCTCTTTAACTCATGAAACACAAAATCTAGTTATGGAAAGAGCATTAATTTTGTACTTATCTTTAATGTTAGTATTTTGATGTGCATAATTAACCACAGTGTTTTTGTTGTCAAGTAATTGTTAATATATGAACATTTTAAATGTTCTGAATATTCCACTTGTAGTTTTACTGCTGCCACTGTCTGCATTAGAGAGAAATAAATGGTAAGAGTTGCCACAGGGGGGCCAATGATTGGCTAAGGGTGGTCATGGCCACCCCTGGCCTACCATCTAGCTCCGCCCCTGACGTGCAGCCTGTTGTGAGGTTTATTCCTGTAGTTCCTCTCTGCGCCACACGGTGGCAGCACACCGGAGAAGTCTCCTGGCCGCCAGTCCGCCTCCTGCTTCAGTCTCAACAGAAGCTGCTGCTGTTCGCTTCGATCCCGGGTCAGAGAGTCCGAACCGCAGAGTTTACCGCACAGAACCCGCTTCCTTCCTCCCAGACCGCCACGCAGGACAACAGGTGAGAAACCCGCAGCTCGCTGCCACCGCACCGCTTCTGTCTGTCAGCTGCGGGAGAACACGAGGCGCGCGGGGCGGTTGGGTTCGGTTAGGATCAGTTGATGGTGAGCAGGAAGACCCGGTAAGTTACTGGGCATCTGAAGAAAGTTCGCCTCAAACAGGAACTTAAGTCCAGTTAAATGGACTCTGCTGGACTTTGTCCTGAAATGGAAGCTGGAGCAGAAACTCAGAGGAGACCTGATTCTAGCTTTCCTGTGAACAGAAGCCTGCACGAGGAACCCAGAGGTTCCCAGTGACTCCCTGTGGTTCCTAGAGGTTCCCAGTGACTCCCGGTTGGTCCCCAGAGGTTCCCAGTGGTTTCTAGCGACTCCCCGTGGTTCCCAGTACTTCCTAGTGACTCCCGGTTGTTCCCCAGAGGTTCCTAGTGACTCCCGGTTGTTCCCCAGAGGTTCCTAGTGACTCCCTGTGGTTCCCAGTGGTTCCTAGTGACTCCCTGTGATTCCTAGTGACTCCCTGTGGTTCCTAGTGACTCCCTGTGGTTCTCAGAGGTTCCCAGTGGTTCCTAGTGACTCCCGTGCCTCCCAGAGGTTCCTAGTGACTCCCGTGGTTCCCAGAGGTTCCTAGTGGTTCCCTGTGGTTCCTAGTGACTCTCTGTGGTTCCTAGTGACTCCCCGTGGTTCCCAGAGGTTCCTAGTGACTCCCTGTGGTTCCCAGTTGTTCCTAGTGACTCCCTGTGGTTCCCAGTGGTTCCTAGTGACTCCCTGTGGTTCCCAGTGACTCCTTGTGGTTCCCAGAGGTTCCCAGTTGTTCCTAGTGACTCCCTGTGGTTCCTAGTGACTCCCTGTGGTTCCCAGTGACTCCTTGTGGTTCCCAGAGGTTTCCAGTTGTTCCTAGTGACTCCCTGTGGTTCCCAGTTGTTCCTTGTGACTCTCTGTGGTTCCCAGTGGTTCCTAGTGACTCCCTGTGGTTCCCAGTGACTCCCTGTGGTTCCCGGTGGTCCTGCTGCTGACTGTCAATCAGAACCTTTCAGTGTGAAATCAGATGTTCTGCTGGATCCTCCTGGTTCTGGACGGACCTCAGAACCAACATGTGTCTGGATCCAGTTGTTGTTAAACAGACAGGAGAGGATGTGGATCCCTCCACCGCAGAAAGTAGTCCCCGATGACTCCTCCAGTGTTTCAGGGGCTGAGCTAGATGGGGGGCCTGGGGTGGCCCTACCATTTATTTCCCTCTAAAGGGCAGATTGTACCTCTCCATCTGCACACATCAAATGTCGCTGGGGTCTTTTCGCGAACCAGTTTTGCTGGTACGCTTCTGCACCGTCGGTCTGGAATTTCTAGGGAAGCACAATAGTTTCCTGCCATGGTTTAAAAGACAACAGGTTGTTCTCATCAACAATCTTCCGATGTCTCAGTCATCGGGGCCAGAATAAATTCCACATTTAATCTCACATTTAGTCTGGTCTATCAGGCTAGTTTTGGTGCCTACCTTCAGCCCCCCCTCAGTGTACATTGGTTATTGCCTGGCTGCCCTTATGAAAAGTTTCTGGCTACGCCTCTGAAGTGTTTGCCTAAGTCTCTCTGCTGATCTGGGCTGGAACCAGTTTAAAGTAGGGATGCACGATATAATCGGCCCCCTATCGGTATCGACCTTAAAACTGAATATCGGACATCGGCCACCCCACCGATATTTAACCCGATATTTGATCAGCTTCTGAGTTTCTAAAGTCTAAAAAAAATTAAATAATTCTACTTCTTCTTCTTCCTCAAAAACTTCTTTTTTACAGACTTAAAAACTTCTAAAGACGAGGGAAAAAATATTGATACATTAAAATATCCCAATATCTTCATATGCTGATATATTGACATTTAAAAACACCATATCAATCTCTTTTACTAATGAAATATTGCTATATGTCATCGTTATGCTACGAAATCCCCCGAAAATTCACGAAATGTTGCCATATTTTTATATGTTGATATATTGACGCGGTATCGATCTATTTTACTAACAAAATCTCACAAGAATTTGCAAAATATCTCGAGAGTTTGTAACAGAACGGTGAAATTTCACGAGAGTTTGAAAGTAAAATAGATCGATACCGCGTTTTTAAAAATCAATTTGATATCAGCATATAAAAATATATTTGAGTATATTATTTTTCAAAGTGTCAGAAATGGATAACAAAACTGCTATTTTTAATGACTACTTATTTTTGTCCAGCTTTAACATCGGTATCGATATCGGTTAACGGCTACATGAGTTTTAAAATATCGACATATCGGATATCGGCCAAAATCCCAGTATCGTGCAGTTTATTTGTGTGACAGTATTGGTGCATTTTATTAGATATTACGGCTGTTTTTAAACCCTATTTACCAAAAGTGCAAAAAGTTCTCCAGTGTGAGATCAATAAAGTTCAATTATTCTAATAATTATTATTAAAATGCTTTGATCGACAGCAGAGTTTGACTTTTCTAAGTTCCACTGAGATTGATGGAGCGCCTGGAACCGTTTCAGGAGAAAACGTCTTTATTCAGTAGAGTTTGATTTTTGTTTGCATGCCTCTCATGTATTTGACACGGTCCAGTTAGACAGCAGCTGTTCAAATGATTTACATCAAGGCCCCGCCCCCAAAAACCAGTGGCTCTAAGAACGTACCCTGTGGAACTCCAAGACCTCGTTTAATCTGGTCAGCTGGTAGGAAAAGTGAAATATTTTAAAATTTTCTCTTTGGTCAAATTCTTTCGAAACTTCGGAACGTAGAATTTTAGAACGTTTCTCACGTATGAGTTTGTTGAAGAAATTGGGTCTTAAATGTCTTCCAGAACCAAAGTGAAGCTGTGTTTTCAGTCACCTTTTGAACCAGACCTGGAACCTTCAGAACGTAGACGTTCAGGTTTCCTCTCAGATCTTTAGGTCCAGATAGATGATTTTGAGCCGAAGGTCATTATAAAGTTCTCCAAGTTCATGAATCTAAAGTGTATAGATCTCTGACTGGGCCCATGAACTATTTGATTACAATGGGCGGGACTTCTGATGGAAATATGGACTTTTGCACGGTGGCTATGGAGGTCAATAATTCAGACCCACAGCTCCTCCATCTGCTCTCTGTCGACCTAAACGAGGTTTCCAGCTGCTGAAGCTCTGGATAAAGGTCAGCTATGAAGCCTGAACAGTGCAGGAGTCTCAGGGCTTCATTCCAGATGCCTGATGTGTGTTACAACCATCAGCTTTGTTGATTCCTGCTCTGAGACGCTCCCAGCTCACAACCTGCTCATCCTGTTTGCAGGAATGTCCCTTCAGGGAATCCAGGTTTCGGGAGTTTTAACCTCTTCCTGGCGTCTGAGCTCAGCTCAGGACTTCTCCAGAGAAGGTCAGGGAGTCTGAACCATCAGAATTAGATTCATCTGTGGGATTTCAAACTGCTGCTGATAGATTTACAGCAGGCTTGGGCTCATTCTCTGCTGCTGATCAACATTTGGCTTTCATCTGTGTTTATTTCAGTCTGTTGACATGACTGGGCCTGATTATGAGATGCAGGCCTAAGAAAAAAAAAAAAACAACAACACCGCACGTTAGCGAAATGTGACTTTAATCATAAGATCATCAGTCATCCAAAGAATATGTCAGAACTGATCCGCTAACGGTTCAAGATCCGAGTCCAACGCTAGTTTTCAACTTAATCTGGACATAATCCAGCTCTGAAACCCGGTCGGTAAACATTGAACTGATCTTTCAAACGTTGGAAGAATTTGGTGTAAGATGACTCACACGGAAGTTGGACACGGTCTCCTAAACCAGCCTGAAACTGTAATTTACACAAGATCAGTGTAAACATCTAACCTGACTCCGCCAGATGGATTTGCTCCGCATATCCATCAGGAAACCTTCCGTTGAAGTAATTTTGGGAAGGGGTGAAAATACTGGTTAGCTGATTGGCCTATGTTGGTGATAGACGGGCCAAATAAACCAATCAGATCAACGAAGCATATGACGTACTAGCAGAGCGACGACAAAGAGGAGCCAATTGATAGATCAAACTCTTTCCGAAACCAGTCGGGAAAAGAGCAAAAACATCTTTTCCTCTGAGAAAAGCCTCCAGAGCCGTGTTTTGCTCTTCTTTCAGTGAAGAAATACTCTGTAATTCCGATAAAACTTGCTCGATAGCCACGCTAACGCTAGTTTCATCGGCTGAAGCCGCCATGTTCTTTAGACTGAACTGTTGCGCTTCTCGTTGCGTCACACCTCAACCCGCCTCAAAGCCAACGCTGATTGGACGTTCGTTTGGTGAACGGCTCCAAATTTTCTTTAACGGAGAGTCTTCAGACTGATCTGCGAGTGAAACCTTGAAAGCTCGCGAGATCAGGATGGTCTCAGATTTTCTCAGATTTCTGACTTTTTTTCTCAGATTTTGACTTTTTTTCTCAGATTTTTGACTTTTTTTCTCAGATTTCTGACTTTTTTCTCAGAATTCTGACTTTTTTTCCTCAGAATTCTGACTTTTTTTTCTCAGATTTCTGACTTTTTTTTCTCAGATTTCTGACTTTTTTTTCTCAGATTTCTGACTTTTTTCTCAGATTTCTGACTTTTTTCTCAGATTTCTCACTTTTTTTCTCAGATTTCTGACTTTTTTTCCTCAGATTTCTGACTTTTTTTTTCTCAGATTTCTGACTTTTTTCCTCAGATTTCTGACTTTTTTTCCTCAGATTTCTGACTTTTTTTTTCTCAGATTTCTGACTTTTTTCCTCAGATTTCTGACTTTTTTCCTCAGATTTCTGACTTTTTTCCTCAGATTTCTGACTTTTTTTCTCAGATTTCTGACTTTTTTTCTCAGATTTCTGACTTTTTTTCTCAGATTTCTGACTTTTTTCCTCAGATTTCTGACTTTAATCTCAGAATTTTGGATCTTAATGTAGATGGCCACCATAAAGTGGCCCTAATCATCTTCAATATAACTGACCTTTGATGACCTCAACAAAATATTATTAATATCATTAA